TTGAAATTTAAAATGTGACGAATTAAACCTCAGAATTTGCAGTTTAAGTTAAGTGTGCAGCGAGGAGAATGCTCTAGTTTTACCCTTATCCTCCGTTGCACCGTGGATCGAGTCAATAGGAGAGGTCGGACAAAATTTGGAAACTTTAAATGCTTAAAACTCCGTTCATTCAAAACTTTTAGGTATTAAAAGCGATTTCATCGGTTTCCTCGTAAAATTTTCTTTCAGGGACAACCCTTAAAATTTAAAATGTGACGAATTACACTTCAGAATTTGCAGTTTTTGTTAAAAATTTCATGCTCGACCTCTCTGATTGACCTGATCCACTGTGCGGTAGGAACTTTGTTTTTTTACATTGACCGATCGGAAACCCGGTGTGCAGCGAGTAGAATGCGATAGATTTACCCTAAATGGACGTATTTCTGCCAAACGGAACTATGTGCATTAAGACGTGAGCCCTGAGACCCATAAGAATATGCGCATACCAGGGCTCACGTCAAAATGCACATAGCTCCGTTTGGCAGAAATAAGTCCAAGTATCCTCCGGTGTACAGTGGATCGAGTAAGTTGGACATGAAATTTTTGACCAAAACTGCAAATTTTGATGTTTATCTCGTCACATTTTAAACTATAAGGGATGACTCCAGAAGACAATTTCACGAGGAACCAGTGAAACCATTTTTAGAACCTCAAAGTTTTTATGAACGGAGTTATAGGCGTCTGAAGTTTTACAAATTTTTTCGACCTCTCCGATTGACTCGCTCCACTGTGCGGTGGAGCCCAAGCCCGATGATTCTGAGCCGTCCGTAATTGAATCGCTCGTTTCGAAAGTTCGCATCGAAAAAAATTTGGATGTTTAATTAACATCCTGGTTGTTAAATTAACATTCTGGTTGTTTAATTAATATCCTAGTTGTTGAATTATTGTGCGATGACCTCAAGAAGTTTGTCTTCACCACTCCTGCTGTTAATTTTACGTCCCGAGGATATTAATTTTACTGTGGGAGCAGTTGAAACAAATGTTTTGAGGTCGTTGCATGAATTTTTCAAAAGGTTCAGTTACACGATCAAATTGAGCCATCAAACTGAAGCTCTGATTGGTGGAAAAATACCTGAGGTGAGGATGCGACCAATGAGAGGCCCAATTTGATGGCTCAATTTGATCGTGTAACTGAACCAAAACAAACAAGATGTTCATTCGTCGTTTCCCTCACGAAGGAGCGCAACTTAATTCCAAGGCTCAATCTAGAGAACGGTTAAAGGACAAATCTTTTCAAATCGCCTTCAATTCAAAATGATACCACTTGACCATCGCTCGAGTTGAAATAGTTGTATGCTTGCGCCTGCAGAAATTTCTCGTTATTCCAGCCTCTCCTTCAGAAGGAACGTAACTCTATTCCAAGGTTGTAAAATTGACCCAAACTGTTAAATTGGACCGCGTTAAGCAGGAAGGAACTAAGCCAGATAAGCTATTGCCTAATTTAACTGGGCGGTTCAATTTTTTTACATGAAAACGATTGTACTGATTTTTGTGCAAATTTCAGTGAATTCTCTGCATAGTGAGAAGCGAGGGCCCTAAAATTTTCAAAGGAATACGCACAAATGTTCTCTTGTAAAAAAATAAATTGCTCAGTGAACTTTGGCAATAGCTTTTTTTTTTTTTTTTCTTTTAAAATATTTTATTAAGATAATTACAAACAATTTATACATATGAGAAACATAGATAAATAAGCAACTTATCTTAATAATACAGTTTCAATCAATTTGATGATTATACACTGATAACAACTACTGTCTTTTCAGACGATATGTCAATGGACATTAGATTAGCGGAACAACTTTATCAGTAATGATAAGAGTAATTGTTTTTCAATAAGACTGCTGTGACTTCTATGAAGTGAAGTTTTGAAATGTTTCTACATTGTCTAGGGGCAAATTATTACATCAAAATAAAACCCAATGGGAGAAAAAATCTGATGTCTGGATCTACTTTATGAAATGAGGATTTGCAACCTCCTACTTTGGATGTTTGGATCGAGAAATCGTGAAATTAAATTCACGAGAGACAACTGTTAAATTATAAGGGCTAGAGAGTTTCAAAAATTTTTTAACACTGTTATCAGTGAGAGGTCAACGTTAATTTTAGTTCTGCAATCTCTTTTTTAAGAGATAAAATGTCTTTTTTGAGATGGGAGATTTCTTCCAGTCTTTTAGCTTCTAGGTTTTTAATTTCTATTTTAAGTTTTTTAATTTCGTCATTAGGTTTATTATTTTTATTATTTGGAGTTAATATCCCATCTCTTTTATCTATATCTGCGGGTCTTTTCTCTTCTACGGCCAATTTTTTGCATTCCTCATTGAGTTCTTTATATTTTTTTATCCTTTGGTTTCTGAGCTTTTTATAGACTTTACAGCCCTTCCAATGAGTAAAATGAGCCTCCTTGCAATGGAGACATGTTGGTCTCCATATTTCGTTCTTAAGGGTTGCTGAATCAGGAATAGGGCAAACTTTACTGTGGTGATTATCGTTACAGATAATACAGACTAGTTTCGATTTACAAAAGTTCTTTGTGTGCCCGTATTGGAGGCAGATCCCGCAGATAGGGATCTCTATTTGCTTAATACCCAATCTCTCAAAAGTAATCTCATAGTTATTTATAATTTTAATATTTTCTAGTTTCTCCCATATTTTCTCGTAACTTTTAAATTCTATTTTGAAAAGAGGGATTGGGTTTTTTGTAAATCTATTTCGTAGTTGGACGATATTTTTAATTTTCAGAATTTCAAATTTTTCAAGTTCAGATTTTAAAATATTGATATCGAAGTCTACAGGTAGACCTCTGATGATTCTTCTGGCTACTTTTCCGTTAAAGGATTTAAATGTATAGTGTTCCACTTCTAATTGACCTAGTTTAAACAAGAAAAACCTGAAATCCTGATCACTCTTCAAATTGACTTTGATCTGTTTATTTGATACTACTTTTAGAGTGAAGTTTTTTATTTCATAGCCGTCAATAATTTTCCTAATTTCTTCTGGGTTTTCTTTTACAATAAATATCGGAGGGGGTTTTTTAATGGGATCTATGTTGACTGTTGTATCTTCGCTATTAATTTTGGGTTGTTTCGTTTCTATGTCCAAAGGTTTCATTTTAGGAGGTGATCTTTCTTCGATATTAATTTTGGGTTGTTTCGTTTCTATGTCCATAGGTTCCATATCAGGATCATCTAGTTTAGTGAAATCTCTTTTATTATTATTAATTTGGGGTTCGGGTTGAATTTTCCTGAGTTTAGGTTCTGGTTCTTTAGTATTTTCTAGGGTTCTTTTATTTAATATTTCTTGCTTAGAAGGATTCTGCTCATTATTATTATCTTGATTTTTATTTTTATTTGTAAAGTTTTTGTTGGTTACATTGCTAAGATATATTTTTTCATAAATTCTATATGGAATATAGTCTTCTTCTTTGATATCTCTTAATCTAGTTCTTTCTTTTCCTTTCTTTAAGATATAGATTTTATCTTTGCAATGGTTACAGTTCGTCGGAGGGATTCGATGTAAGCATTTGCTCCTCAGGTCCAAATCTTTTAGGTTGGTAGCGTTACAATTATTGCATGAAGATAATGATATATTATGCTGACATAAAAGATTTTTAAGTTTAATCCTAGCCTTGAAGCCTTTCTCGGTTTTGATATTAGTTTTAACTATCTTGGCATCGTTTGAGGGGCCCTGTACAGGAGTATCTAGTTTCTTTTTAAAATCAGTAATATTACTATTTGTTGGAGGTTTATTATTAGGTTTAGTTACTTTTTTCTTTCTAGGTTTAGTTACTGGTAGTTTAGGGAAGGCAAGAGAAGAGAGAGAGTTCGAATCCTCTTCTTCAAATGGGAGGCGGTCCTTAGATTGGAGGTCCTGAGAAATTTTTGGGAAGCGAAAATTTATCTCCTGAAAGCTCAATTTTTCCTTTTTGCAGTAGTATTCAAAGATTGTTAATTTCGATCCTTTAATTTCATAAAGATTGTAGCATGTGCTACAAAAAATTGCTGATTCATTATGGGAACAAGTGATTGTGTCTAAAATGTAATTTGCATTCAGTTTTTCTAGGCATTTTGAACATTTATTAGGTGTTTCATTATGACAGCATTTTGCTGTTTTTTTAACCCAGATCTGCTTTGGGAAAGAGCTTAAAGAACACACATCGGATTCACTTGAGTCACTTAAAATACTAGAGCCACTTGACACTATTGATTCCTTAGGGTTGCTGAGGTCCTCTATCGAATCTTCGTCGTTATCTTCCTCCATTGATTCGCAATCAGTTGAGTCAGATACGTCTATTTCTCCTGAAAGCTTGTCGAACCACTCTTTGTTGTTGCGTTTTAGAAAACTCATAAAGTCGCGAAGTCTGTTTTCCCTAAGAAAAATCACGTATGGGATTGATTTGCGATTTTTTGGATCTACGATAGTCAATTCGTTCGAACAAATTTCGCATGCTAATGCCGGAAGTTGGTGATAGCATATAACTACAGCTATATTGTCATACTTAGTTTGTCTACAGTTATCACAAGAGAAAAATTTCCTATGATGTTCACATCTTAGTTGTCCAACAACCACTCGAGGGGCAGGATCTTCTTTCGAATCGTCTACTTCTGAAGATGTAGACATGATGAAAAGGTTCACTACAAGTTGAAGCACCCTATAGATGCTTGAAACCACTTTATCAGTTACAATCTGATAAGAGAGCTGCACAGTGACACATGACCTGCTCGGTCCGAGGTTTCAACTCAACTCCTTTGGCAATAGCTGATGCGGCTTGGTTCCTTCCTGCTAAACTCGGTCCAATTTTTCTTGACTCAGTTTTTTCCCATGAGACAGTATTTTGAAAACGGAGAGCCCCGTGGTGTCAAGCTGCGCAGTGGCCACGGGGAGATCATTAATCGTTTGAAACTGCTCACATTTTTCGGCGAGTGTTTCAATGACCTCATAGACGCATATTTTGTCTGTTTCAGATGTCAAAAGTTGGAGATGGTATCATGGCAAGCACATTGAGGTTCGTCCCAACTTCAAAAGATGACAATATGAATTTGATCTGTCGCGCAGTAAATCCTAAGCTCCCATCACCAAGTGGGGCCCTCGAAGACTCAGTGAAACTCAACGTCCTATGTAAGTTTCAAATTCCCATCTTTTTTTTATTTTTTAAGTTGCATGAAAATGTCATCAGAGTGATAGAATTTCTGCAAAAATGGACTCAGGGCTATTACACTATACAAATTGTGAAATATCTGGATCTTAGGATGTTTAATTTCTCTTTCTTCCATGATAACAGCTGGAAATCATGTTCGTGAATTTCCGGCCAGGAGGTCTTACCCCATGAAATCCCATCGATTGCAACCTCTTACGCATATCGCATCTGAGAATTGTACTATGTATCCATATTACCTTTATTCCTTACTATTTTTTACTATTTTTCTCGTTTTCAAAGGATCCTGGATTTAGGGTCACTTCCTGCAAATTGCGCCTTCTCTTGAAAAACAACGTCTTTGCATATCGATGGTTAACGAACAAAACTGCCTATCTGCAAACTGACGACTTTGCAGAACGAAGAAAAAATTCGCCATTTTTGTAATTTTAAGGCTAGATTTGCAATTTTTGAATACGTTACAGCGTTATGGCAGCGCTCTCTAACAGAATTGGAAAAAACTAAAATCATCAGTTCACGTATTTTATACTGCAGGATGCGGCGATATCACTGACTCATTTTTTTTCAAAATTGACACTTAGTCGGTATTGTCCGTTATAGTCCTCGATATCTTAAAATTCCTCGTCCCTCCAAGTATCCGATCCTCTTTCACCAATCATTTCTCATTATATCTCTTCGTTATATTTATCTATAAATTATATATTTATTCGGTTTTCATTTCTGCTCGTTTGAATAGTTCCATTTCTACCCCGACGGTTCATTCGATGGTTGGTTCGATAACTTATGCGAGGACCCTCGAGTTCCGGGTTAGCCCAATGCTGAAAGGGCGGATTTGATAGGGCACATTGTCATATGGACGACCGAAATCTCCGCTCGAGAGAGGGAAAGGGCCCCAAGTTGCGGAAAGAAAACCATATGGGGATCGGAAAACTTGTTACCAACTCAAGTATGTCGGCATGTAAACGAGCGCTTTCAACTTTCGCGCACTGATGTCAAGTCACTGACGAATATCGAGAAATGACGTCATAACCCCGTCGGATGAAAAAATGATACTTACTAGGCGAATTTTAACGACTGGGTTCGATTAATGTTTTGGATAGATGACTGTTGTATCACCGTTAGGGTTAGGACCAATCAAAATCGAGTATCTAATTTTCAACGAAATCATAAAGAAAATGAGCCAAACCCTGGATTAGGTAAAAAAAAATCGCCGATTGACTATTGCAACACAATTTATCTAAGATGTAACAACTCTAATAAATTATAATACAAATATACAAAAATATGTGCACTTTTCTTACTTTTTTTCATCGCCATCACCTCACCGTTTTTTTGTTGCTCAGTTGTTTTTGCTGCACAGGACGCCGCCATTTTGGAAAAATAGGTTTCTAGACTAGTAGATTAGGTTTGAAAAAAAAGTTCTTCATTAGGATTAGGTCAGAAAAGTCAACCAAACTTACTCGCTATTGGTGCTGAGATTACCAAACCGTGTATCTCAGATTGCTGATCTCGATGAAAAACGCTCCTCCGTTCACTTTTTCAAAGAAAGCTTAATAGAGGCCTAGCCATCCTTTCGGCTGTTTTTTAGTTTTTTATTTCTTCGTCCCTTCAAAAATATTCTCTAGAAATAGAGAACATCTGATGGGTCATCCCGAAAGTCTTGCGCGTTTAGCTCTCATTTTGACACAATTTTTGGCTCATCGGTAAATACACTTACGCACATAGGGTAACGAACGGCACATACGTTGTCTCTAAACTGAGCCTGACACTGCAGCTACGAATTGCAAGATGTATTCAAATATAAATATTCGACCAATCATCATATAAATAATCCCTGAGAAATTGAATTCGACAATTTCTGATTGTTCAACGTAATTTGCATAAATAATTTTTGTTGTAACAACATGTTTTGTGATGCCTTCATCCTCGTCTCGTCCAAAATTTACATGGATCTTTTCATGAAAGTTCTTCCCAACACGTTGATAATCGTCTAGGTTGCGTTGGGGGGAGGGGGTGGGAGGCAGATCCGATAGCGGGAAAACGAGTCAATGCGGCCTTTTCCATCAGACCCTGTCGCAAAGGAACGGTGAGAGCCGTCGTCTGGGCTGCCCGAAGGCATCCGCCCTCTCCCGGCCTCCCAACGTAGATTAATGATCTGACCAGATGTTCATTTTTCTTTGCTCCAGCCCGGCTAAGGGTAACGTACCCCCGCTTGTAGTACAGTCAAGCTCGCTTTAACTATTATTCATCTTTGGATACTCCATCGGCTCTATTTTCAGCCCCCTCGCATATGTTTTCCGCCCCCCCCCCCCCCCTACGCCCAAGCCTGAGGCCCTTGCTTGGCAGCTAGGACGAAATTGGTTTGTTTAACAAGAGCCGCCTGATACTCCTGCCAGTCTTCCCCCCTCGTGTGTTCCAGATTTTTGGAGGGAAATGTGCTTTATTTGATAAGCGGGAGGAAAGAGGCGAGGCTTGACAGAAAACGCGTATTTTTGACAGGAGTTGATGGAGATATAACAAATTTATGAATTTCTTTGAATAATATCTTATAAAATACCCCTTCAAAGGGTGACTGGACATTAAACTGGATGGAAACGTCATATCTATGGAGGACCTCCCAAACCACGTATCTCGTTTTAGGTGTTTTCAAAATATCCGCTCCCATTTTATTTTTTTGAAGGAGAACAACTCAATATTATTTTTGGAAATTTTCTCACAGTTTTCTTCACGTAGAGAGGAAAAAACACGGAAGATTTCAAGAATTGACGTTGAGTTGTTTTGCACTGAAAACATAAGATAAGACATGAAGTCTGCAACGTCGCAAACTGAGACACGTGGTCTGGTAGTTTCATAGTTGATATGATTCCTCTTCCAGGCTCAATCTAGAGAACGGTCAAAGGACAAATCTTTTCAAATCGCCTTCAATTCAAAATGATACCACTCGACCATCTCTCGAGTTAAAATAGTTGTATGCTTGCGCCTGCAGAAAGAGCATCCCAAAATTCGGCCCCTTTTTAGGTATTCGATTCGACCATCGGACCAAGGTTTAAATGGAAGCTTATATTAACAGAAAACTCAGGAAAAAATTTCAAGGTGAGTATAGGAACCGTTTTGAGTTACGGGGGGGCAAAGGGGTCACAATCCGGCCTAATTTTTTGCTGTTTTCTTGTAGAATTGATGTATCGGCGGGGTTCTTATCGTTGTTTACGCATGTGTAGCACATGAATTCCTACGTGTTTTCACACGTAAAATCGATTTTTAACGTTGCCGAATCGATATACTGATCAGTTAAATCGATTTTGAACGATTTATTAAGGAAAATCGTTGATTTTTCAGAATCGAAATTTTTTATTTTCGATTCATGAATGAATAAATGCATCTGAAATATGACTGAAGCACACGTGACCCTATGTAGTTTGATACGTAGAATTGATTTTTAACGTTGACGAATCGATTTATCTATCGTTTGTATCAAATTTTTGCGATTTTTTACGGAAAATCGATGACTTTTCGGAATTAAAATTGGGTTTGCTCCATCCGAGATCGGAGATATGTACCCAACATGATTGGAACACATCGACTCTTACGTATTTTTCTACGTGGAATCGATCTATAACCTCGATAAGTCGATATATCGATTAATTGTATTGAATTTTTGCGATTTTTTGCGGAAAATCGATGGTTCATCGGGATTGAGATCGGTGTCTCTCCATCCAAGATCGGAGAAATGTACCCTTTATGATTGGAGCACATCAATTCTTACGTATTTCTACAACGAATCAACGGAACGGAACCAATCAACGGAACGGAACGGAAACAACGGAACGGAATCAATTTTAAACGTCGACGAGTCGATATATCGATCTGACATACACAACTCTTGCGATTTTTTACGGATATTCGATGGTTCTTTTGGACTGGCATTGGAAACATCTACCAGACATGACTGGAGCACATCGATTTGTTTGTGATTATTCTCGCAAAATCAATTTTTAAGAAAGTCGACGAGTCGATACATTGACTGGTCATATTGATTTCTTGTGATTTTTGTGGAAAATCGATTTTTTGAACAGGAATGAAATTGGTTACTAACGGTCCGGTATACGGTGTAATTATACGTAAGAATTGATGTGCTCCAATCATAAAGGGTACATTTCTCCGATCTTGGATGGAGAGACACCGATCTCAATCCCGATGAACCATCGATTTTCCGCAAAAAATCGCAAAAATTCAATACAATTAATCGATATATCGACTTATCGAGGTTATAGATCGATTCCACGTAGAAAAATACGTAAGAGTCGATGTGTTCCAATCATGTTGGGTACATATCTCCGATCTCGGATGGAGCAAACCCAATTTTAATTCCGAAAAGTCATCGATTTTCCGTAAAAAATCGCAAAAATTTGATACAAACGATAGATAAATCGATTCGTCAACGTTAAAAATCAATTCTACGTATCAAACTACATAGGGTCACGTGTGCTTCAGTCATATTTCAGATGCATTTATTCATTCATGAATCGAAAATAAAAAATTTCGATTCTGAAAAATCAACGATTTTCCTTAATAAATCGTTCAAAATCGATTTAACTGATCAGTATATCGATTCGGCAACGTTAAAAATCGATTTTACGTGTGAAAACACGTAGGAATTCATGTGCTACACATGCGTAAACAACGATAAGAACCCCGCCGATACATCAATTCTACAAGAAAACAGCAAAAAATTAGGCCGGATTGTGACCCCTTTGCCCCCCCGTAACTCAAAACGGTTCCTATACTCACCTTGAAATTTTTTCCTGAGTTTTCTGTTAATATAAGCTTCCATTTAAACCTTGGTCCGATGGTCGAATCGAATACCTAAAAAGGGGCCAAAATCAGCCTCTTTTTTGGGAGGCTCTTTCTTGTTATCCCAGCCTTATCCGTTATCTTGCATCGTTTGAGTGCTTGCTAGCGCAAT